ATATTTTCACATAAATTACATTTTGGAAAACGATTGCATTGCAACGCAGTTTGTGCAAGTCCAGAACAGAGACGAGTTGCTTGCAATAAGACAAAAAATGGCCGTTGCCAATCGCGTAAGTTCCAGGGGAAGCTCCTTAGTTCGGCTGTCCTACACAGTACACACGTGACTGACCGCTCGCTCGCACCAACAGGAGGAGGAGGCTCGTGTTACTCTCTACACTGCACTCAACCTGAGGGATTCCTACACTTTCAGTCTTTGAGACATGAAAAACAGCGCATACCGCAGGAACGGTATAACGGAAAATATTAGCGGTTTTGAAACCGTGAAATTTTCAAATCGCGGTATACCTTGAAACTGGTAATCGGCCCATGCCTAATCATGATACAGAGACCACGATACGATACTTATCACGATACGGGACTACACTGAATTTCACCTCAGAAGAATTTAGTAAAACAGCTGTTTATTAAACACTGCATACTATAGGGTTGTTGCTAAGTATAGGCAGAACAGGCAGTTGACCTCTGCATTATGAAGGGCTTCCATAACATTACCACAGTACAATATAGGTAATGGCATATGTTTCATGTTTACATTGTGCACTCCACACCAGTTACAATATTCTGATTGTTTGCATCTTGTTTTTAAGCCCATAAAAAATAATGTACTCATTCTAATAAATCTATATTGTAATGTACTCATTCTAAAATATTAAAATCATCCTAACATTGCTGGTAGGTTATCATTGCACAAATCAACACACTCTAATAAAACTCTTCTAATAAAAATTAGAAGAGTTCTAAACTAATGCGCTGTCTTCATTGTACCTCACGCGCATGTTTAGTCACACAGATCAGATCACGCCGCGCGCGCACAGACAAACTTTTTAGCGCTGCTCCGCAATTTTATCAATAAAATAGCTTAATCACTGAAGAGCTACATTATCTTTCTCAACAAGGAGCTGGTAACATCATTGACATCATTGTTTCTAAAGCAATTAAAGCCACAGCTTTTCTGTTAATAGAGAAACACGGCAAAACGGTGGTAATTCATACATACACAGCCTCTCTCTCTCATAAATGAACACTTGATGAATTACACTTTTCTGAGAATAGAATATTGAAGTGGAAATCGCTAAACTGCAAGATAACCGGTGTTTTCAGAAAGCCAGCGCGTTCATCCACAGTGGAGAGAGAGCGTGTGCACATGGTTGCCAGGTTGACAAAAACAAGTAACACACATAGCAGATATTTCCGTATTGCGCAAGTGGGAAGCTCTGTTTCAGAGATTATGTCTCTTTATATCAGGCAACCCCGGTTGTGTTCCTCTGCAGCGAAAGGGACTTTGTCTGCGGCCAGATAAAACCTTGTTGTAGCCTATGTATTATGCTCTATTCATTATTTTTTAGAAACCTTGCAGTTTTCTACTCCGTTTTAAACTGTGTTCTTTTATTCAATATCGATACAGGGCCAGCTGTATCTCTGTGACGATACATCGTCGTATCGATGTATTGAACACAGCACTAGGCTGAACCATCGCTTTAATTTCCATTTTATATTAAAATTGGAGAATGCACTTGGTCTAACCGTATGGTCCGAGTCTAATCTGAATATTTGGTAATACTGTTGTCAAAACAGAAATAAAGAAATCATAAACTGAATGACTGAAGATGACTGTTGCACAACACCAGAGCCCAAAAGGGTTTGATTTAGTAATGAATATTGGGTCATCTTAGCGGGATTAGTTAGTGATGTAATCCATAACAATGACTCATGAATCTGGCACAGAACGGGTTAATCGTTGGTAATCTCACTCAAACCAAAACACACACATGTTGGAGGATGCTGACGTCACTCGACATCTCTGAAGAGTATGGGATCAATTAAAAAACAACAACAGGCCCTTATGGTCTAAAACTTTTCCTCTCATTCATTCTCTTTCAAGAGCTCATATGGAAATATGGTCACAGTTTGTATTTTCATGCAAACAACCAAAGCTTTCTTTCACTGAATAAGATAATTAGAGGGGGGAAAATACATTTGATTTTTAAGAAATGGACTCCAACATGAGCTCACATCACACACATCCAGAAACGCATGGAGATGGCCAATTATTTCCCAATCTCTAGCAGCAACGTTCTAAAGTACCTGTAATCCTGACGAGGTTTGGAAATGCTCTGGGGTGCATTTCTCAAAAGCAACTATATGGTCGCAAGTTCCGCCATTTGCAATAGAGTTCAATGGAACTAACGATCACATTAACTATGCTTTTGATAAATGCACCCCTGGTTCTGACCACCTTCATCTTACAATTAAAAGTCTCCTCTAGCAGAAAATAATGCCTTCTTACATCTTAGAAATATTCAAATGGAAGGTTTTTACATACAGCCAATGTACAGTACAATGACCAATGTGGTTATTAAATTATGGTAACCATTAGTGCTGTGTTCGATACGACGATGTATCGTCACAGAGATTTGACGATACGAGTATCGATACAGCTGGCCCTGTATCGATATTGTGGCACGTGTGCAGCAGTGGACCGCGCTTAATTTGAATACGAGAGCGCCGTTTAAAATGGAGTCGAAAAGTGCGAGGTTTCTAAAACATAATGAATAGAGCATAATATATATAGGCTACAGCAAGGTTTAATCTGGCCGCAGAGGAGCACAACTGGGGTTGACTGATATAAAGAGACGTAATCCCCGAAACAGAGCTTCCCACTTGCGCAATACGGAAATATCTGCTAAGTGTGTTACTTATCTTTGTTAACCTGGCAACCATGTGTACGTGCTCTCTCTCCACTGTGGATAAACGCACTTGCTTTCTGAAGACACCGGTAAGCTTGCAGTTTAGCGATCTCCACTTCAATATTCTATTCTCAGAAAAGTGTAATTCATCAAGTGTTCATTTATGAGAGAGAGGCTGTGTATGTATGGATTACCACCGTTTTGCCGTGTTTCTCTTTTAACAGTGAAGCTGTGGCCTTAATTCCTTTAGAAACAATGATGTTTCTAAAGGAATTA